AGAGAGAAAGGTAAAGAGATAAGGGTGGGTGGGTGGGAATTGGCTCAATGTGGGTTTTTGGTCAAATTTTCAAGTTGCAAAGATGCCCGTCCTTTTCTTGACAAATTTCCCTTTATTGCAAAATCTTCAATGGACCCAAGGGAAAATACCCTCTTTTGAGTTTCTCACATTGGCCCTTGGCCATAAAGATCTTATAACAAATGCTTTATTTCAATTTTCTTTGATAGTAGATCATAATTGTAGATTGAAAAGGAGTTTATTATAGTTTTAGCCACAGTTTATTTAAAGAGTAACAGTGCTATATTTATCACTTTTTTCACAATCTCAATATAAATCATTAAATTAATAAATTTCATTGACTTTATTAAATTTTTAAAGATTAGGATCATGTTACATCAAGTAAAGTAAGTCAACTGACGTAGAAAGNTATGTATGTATGTATGTATGGGCATGGGTTGGGAGCTCAGCAGACTGGTTACCACAAGGCTCGGTATATGAGAAAAAAAATAATAGGCAATATATTGTCCATTTCAAGGAGACTGATTTGTTCAAACTCGAACCTGTAATTTATTATTATTTATTGAGGTTATTATCGTTCTATGTCAACACCTACATGATTCAATGTAAAGGGATAGTGAATTTTGACAGCTAATGGTTTAAAACATTTTTTGGCATCCTTTTTGTAGGGATTCTTGGGTTCGGGTGTGGATTTTCCAGTGGGGAATGTCTCGTTTNGCGAGGAACCTATGAAGCACGGATATTTCGTCAAGGTCGACATATTTGTATTTAATATCGTATCGAATACGATATTCGTCGGATACTCGATAATACGTATCAGATATGCATCATCCTTATCCGATAATTAATAAAATATGTGAATACTTTGTGGATACTTCTAAACATGGTGTAAGATGTATAATTTTCAATTTTAAACTATAACCCTTCTTTGGAGTTCACATACAATATATAACATCAACAAAATTCTATCTGATTTTAAAAACACGAGCATTTTTTAAGTATTATCTATTATTATATGTTAAAAGGGTATAAAAAAAATGAATCACTTACACTATACTTTTAAAAATAAATACTTGTAAAACCAACTAGTTAAATGTTATTATAATTTCTTTAATTTGTCATGCTCATTTTATGAACAGATCATAATGAGATGATATTATAACCTTTTCATGGTAAAAATTTCTAATTTTACTTACTAATGTTAAAGAATTATTGAAAAATTGTAATTTCTAAATCGTTAAATAATAATAAAATATAAAATATATTTTATTATAGACGTATCTTGGCCGTACCCGTATCTTATTTTTTTTAAGTTTTATCGTATCACCGTATNTATTTTTTTTTTAAGTTTTACCGTATCCCCGTATCCCCGTAGCCGTATCCGTGCTTTCTAGGAGGGAACTAATTATGCTAACTGCTGTTATTGCGTAGTCTACTTGTATTTAGTATTTCCCGATTAGAAAAGATATAGGAACAAATTATGGATCATAGTCAATAAATATACATAGGAACAAATTATGGATCATAGTCAATAAATATACCACTTTCGATCCATTTGTTATGAATTGTTTTAAATAACATTAATTGTTTTTATTAGAGCATCGCAAATAATACTCTTTATTTTAGAGAGTATTTTCTTTTAAATTAGAAAGTATCTTTGATAAAAAAAATTAAAATAAAAAGTAAAATTATTTAAAAAAGTGTAATGAACTTTCAATTCTAATCAATAACATTTAATGAAGAATGCGTATTTATCATAAAAAATCGAACAAAAAAACCTATTAAAACTTGATTTTTTTTATATTATTAATTTTATAAAATAAGGAGCTAAGTGGGAAGTTGAGAACCACGAGGTTATTGGAGATACTCGCTAACCAATTCTACTAAAAAGGGGCCCAGTTGACTTAATTCCCAAAGCTTTAATACACAGATCAGCCGCCCTTGCTGTTAGCATTAATGGAGTTGTCTACGCTATTGAATTTTTTCTTTTAATCATACCACTATTTATAATATTTATGACTTACTAATTGTTCGTGCATGAAGACACTATATTACTTGTAAAAATCATAAATATTTTTTTATAATACAATTTCAATAATGCAATAATCAAATTGATATTATTCAACCTATAATCAAACCTTTATATAATGAAAGTCACGCTACAACTACTATAACATAATAATTCAAAAAATTGAAAACATATAATTATTATTAATTAAACATCCATAATTTTAATATTTTAAATAAATTTTATCTCAAATTTCAAAAAAAATATAAGTATTTGTTTTTCTGCAGGTTTCTACCTAAAGTTCGTAATATTAACTATTGTGACGAAAACATCTAAAAATTTTACATGAATTCTCGTAAATGTAAAAAAATTTTGTTGAGGAATTAAAATCAGTTTTCATTTAAGCCCAACTTAAATATTCGTAAAAATTCAATCGAATTTAAGTTTAGGTAGAACTATTCCCACCCTACAAATTTTTATTCTCATCCTATTTAATTTCTCATTATTATACTATTAAGCACACCCCTTCTATATCCACCTTATCAGTAACTAAGTCTACTCTATACTATATACACTCCATTTAATAAATAAAATCACCTTACATTTTTGTCATAATTAGAGTTTTATTCTCTATTTCATCTCATACACTCACAAAAGTATTTTTTCAATTTGAATTTTTCTAATGAGATGCAGGTTAGTATTACTTCTCAATTTAATTCTATATTTGATTTCCTGTTTGCTGTATGAATTTTCACTATTTTTAATATATTTTAATATATCTGTCAAGTTTAATAATTTTTTATTTATAATTTATATGTGTGTATATATATGTATATTTTCGGATTGTTTGTTTTTTTCTTAATCTTGTTTAGTTTTACATCTATACTTGTTATTTTTTTTCTTGTTCAATTTTGTGTTTGTGCTTGATACTTTTTTTTCATGTCCGGTTTTATGTCTTGTGGTTTTGCGTTTTGTAGTTTTGTATTTTTGTTTTTCTTTTAATCTTTGCTTATTTTTTTTTTCTTTTTTTTTTCAATTTGCTTGTTTATTTTTTTTCCCTTATTTCATTTTTTTATTTTTAAAGGGCTTGTATATTGCATGGGGGTGAGATTAGTCAATAATGAGGTGAGTATAGAAAGGGTGAATTTAATAATTTGATGATGAGAATTTAAATCGGATGAGAATGGAAATTTGGAGTGAGAGTAACCCCACCTTTTAAGTTTAAGCAGCAAAAATTTATACTTTATATTCAACAGTTAAATTCAGCTCAATTCAAGTCCTAATCATAATCACATCAAATCGAAAATTGAATTAAGTTCGACTCAATTAACACTTCTATCTTAAACCTACAAATTAATTCTTATTTATTCCCGTTCATTGTGACGCCCTAACTTTTTTTAAAAAATATATATTTATTCTTTATTATTTTTACAATCACTTTCAATTTTAATTCAACTTGAATACTTGTAAAATTCAAGTAAAATTAAGTTTAAGTAAGAATATATATTTTATACTCAACAATTAAATTTAGCTTAATTCGAATTTTAGCCATAATCACTTCAAACTAATAATCGAGTACAATGAAAGAATTCTTATAATTTTTTGGTAGAAAAAAATTTGTAGGAGAAATTTCGATCGTTTGATCAATAATCTTAAAATAATTTGAGCCATGAAAAGCTCCAGATAAATAATGCTAGATCCCTTAATATAGATATATCACAAATTACATATATGTTATTCGCCTATTATACCATTCAAATATTATAGTATTTTTATTTTAATGCAAAATATGACTTATATTATAGTCATTCAACTCGTTTTGATGCAAAAAAAAAATCTATATTTAAGGTCCATTCATTTATTTTCAAATTTTAAAAATAATCTTTAATTAGAATTATAATTAACAACCTAATTAATGTGTAGTATAAAATAGAGAGTTGTAAAAAATATAGGAGTTTTAGAATTGTAGAATGAATGAAAGTCTTACTTCAAAAATTAGGAGGGGAGGGGAAGGAAATTTGATATTAGGACTGCCGGATCAATATTTCTTTAAGCAATCTGCGCCATGAAAAGTTAAAAACAAAGAAATCTAACTATTTTATTATATAAACTAGTAATTGCCCGTGCGTGAGAGCACTGCGTTACTCGCAAAAAATAAATAAAAATAATCCAAAGCAATACCACATATACAAATACATCAAGAGAAAAAAAATACCGACAAAACCAAATCAAATTTACAATCTTTAAGTAATGAATGAAATCAATAAAATCTTTTTTGTATTCGTCACCATTACCATGATCCAATTTAATAATAGAACATAATTATAAACTCAATCCACCCATGTAATAATCCAATTTTATTGTTCACTTGTTATTTTGTTTATTTTATAATTTTTACTTGTGTGGAAGTGGTGATGACGATTACACTGGTTTTGAATTTTTTTCTGCGACTACAACTAGTTTCAATTGTTTTGTTTTTATTGGTCACTTTTTCTTTATTTTATATTTTTTGTTTGCGTGGAAGAATTGGTAATTAGTTTGGAATTTTTTTTATTTTTTTGATGTAATTGGTATCACTTATTTTTTTTTGTTGGTGATTAACTCGGGCTTTGTGCTTTTGTTTCTTGAGAGAATATTTATATTTTTGTTTGTGTGGAAGTGGTGATGGTGATTAGATTAGTTTTGATTTTTTTGTGTGATTGCAATTAGTTTTAATTGTTTTGTACTTACTGGTCACTTGTTATTTTTTTATTTTATACTTTTTGTTTGCATGGAAGAATTAGTAATTTGCTTGAATTTTATTATATAAATTTTTTGTTTTTTTGGTGTAATTGGTATGACTTTTTTTTTTTATTGGTGATTAGCTTGGGTTTTGTTTTTTTATTTTTTAGGAGAATTGTTTTGTTTTTATTGGTCATTTATTTTTTTTTCTAGAGCTTGGGGGAATTGTTTTATTTTTATTTTTATTTTGAGAACTATATGTTTGCATGTAGTAGTGTTTTTTTTTTTTTGTATAAATAATAGCTTGAAGGGTGAATTTATGGATTAGATATTGGTGATTAGATTGAGTTTTATTTTGAATCAACTTTTTTGATTAGAAATTCATCTAACTTTCAAAAAAATGTGTAGAACCTGTTAATTTTTATTTATATTTAAGATTTTCTCATTCTATGAAATCATAGAAAAAATAAAATATTTTCTCATTTGGATACTGATTGTGTG